GTAAGGCTTACCCCGTGACCGGCGACCTGCACTACTGCAACAAACAGTACTTATTACAGCAAGTATGGATAAGTATGGCAGGTCCATGCGATTCACTTAATGTATTCAAGACCGCATTGCGAGGCGCAAAGTCTGCAGATTTGTTCCAAAATTGGTTGGGCAATGTTGGGCACCACTTTTTCATAAGATTTGTCGGTGAATCCAGACCTCCAGTGATGGACCCATAGAGGGTGTGCATAGAAATCTCTAGCCCTCCAAAGCGTTCAGCCAGAAAGCCTGCCGAGCCGGAGGCGGAAATCGTCTTGAAATCAGGCCACAGGCACCACAAGTCAAAGGTTTGGCCCGTTTGGCCCGTTTGGCCCGTTTGGCCCGTTTGGCTGATCATGATCTGTTTTGAGGACTCCACATCTCCAACACATCAAAATCATCGCTGTATATTGCTGTCCTGCCAGCTTGTCCAGTTCTGCTAATTCTTCAAAGCTCGCTGTCGCTGGACGCTCTCTTGCCAAATACTCACTGGCAATGTCCGTAAAGATTAAGCCAAACCTGGACAGCACACGAGAAACCAACAGGCTGCTTATCTCTCTTATCTGCCAACTTCCTGTTTCAACTCCAAAAACTTTAAGTTTAGATCTGCTGGTATGATTCAAAGCCCTTGCAATACGAGAATCATACGCCAAGAAACAGAAAGATAATCAGCGCCAGAAGAACCACGGACCAAACCTTGATGGCCAGACGGAATACACGTACAGATTATTAAGCACGGAGGCGGAATGAACATAAACGGGCCAAGTACATTTGCATGTTCTGCACCATGTGCATTATTTTGCTCAAATTTGTCGAGTTTTCGTCTCCGGAACTCGAAATAGCTTCGAAGCTGAAGAGGTGCCGGAAATAGAGGTGTCAGTCCGGTGTCAGTGCCACACTCAAGTAATCCCACACCCCAAGCCACCCCTCAAGATGGAACTTTCTCTGGGGCTGCAACTTCACGATTTCGAGCCTTCCCACATCAATATCATCAATATGTAAACATGATGTAAACATATGTAAACATATGTAAACTATGCTCAGCTCCCAGGGGCTCTTGAAGCATGTCAAGTTGCCATTACTCTCAAGGTGTTCCCAATCTGGTAGAGTAAGGCCCGGAGGGAGCGGATGAATTTCACCACCCTGAGCAGTAAACAGGTGGAGTCTTGCGCGTGTTGTCTCTGTCTCTGGTTGAAAGTGCGATCAGAGGAAAGCAAATTTGTTTCAGCTGTGATTCTCAGGTGATTTCAAAACATGACCAATATAGTTAGTCTATTTGCAGCTACACTTGATCATAGAGGGAGGCTTTCCTCTCTAATTTGTCGAATGCTGGAGAACGGAGACAGATTCAAGGAGAAGTCGCACTCTTAGGCAAAATAGGCGTGACGTCTTTGCCACCTACGATTGTCTCTTTATGTCTCTTTAACTGTTTTCATTTGGAGCCCTGCCGGTTGGTGAACTTGATGACCTGTCGCGAAGGCGGGAATTAATTCGCGCTTTGAAGGGCGCTGGACAAATCGCACTCAAACTATGGGTGAAATGCCACATGGTTTCAAGGCTGGACATCGACAGGGCAACCACTCTTGGTCAAGTCGGTAGCCTTTTTTGTCAACAGTGATTCCAGATGAATCCAGACTCTTTGAGAATAATTGGAACAATAAATGATGAACTTGTTGAAAAAAAATGCCGCAAGGCTGAATGTCTGATAGAATTTTGAGCACGAGACCTCTACGAAACTTCCAAGGCAACAAGAGGTAAGAAGGGATCGAGTGGTGATGACCAGGTGATGCGTTCAATTTCTTCTCCTTCTACATCTTCTACATTTCTACATGCAACAGTTTCGAACAAAATTGCATTACAAATGCGACTTCCATGCCTTCAAAGACACGATGACAGTTAGACATGAGATGATATGACACGACACCATCTGAAAAACAAGTTGGAAAGGGTAGGTGAAGATGGCGCTGAGGAGATGCAAGGGAGACAAACTATGACAACACCCAATCTCCAAGCACTGCTATTTCTTCATCGCACGTCATGGCTAAACTTCAGAATCCCTCAAGTGTATCCATTTGTGACTATAAACCTGGGACTTGAATCTTTACTTACTTTAGATTACTTTAGTTTCTGTTGACTTTTTGTATCCGGTAGAAAACTAAGATACTTCCCCAAATAGATCCAGTCAACATGTATCTTCAGTTTCGCATCCACAGACCATCTTGTTGAAGGATCCAGAAGGGTTGATCAGACCATGGCGCTCAGCGAAGTCCTCGAAGTCGCCCAGCAGATTCCCAACCCCTTTGGTCCGGGCCAACACCGCTTGAAGACATGTTCATAGCCAACGCTGTCCGGGGTTCCACGGCGATGCCAGGGCATCTTATTTGCTGACTTTTGCTTTCTTTCTTCAAACCACTTGGCTCTCCTCCACTCACCTGTCTTTGCCAACTCACATAGTTTTTCGATACAAAGGTCATTGGTCCATTCTGTGGCATACTTCCATACCTTGTTTCCCTTCTTGACTTCGCAGACTCGGGATCGTCACGATCAATATAGCAAAAATGTTCCTTCTCCATGCCCTCCGTGGTTTCCCTGAAAGCATGCGTGAATTTCAAGGCACAAACTTCTGGTAGAAGTGTTCGTATACAAAGTAGTTGCACTGCTCTGCATCCCCACCCTTGACATCAATCATGGCCATGTGGTAGGTTTTGCCGCTTTCTTCCTGCATTTCTTCATGAAGCCACTGAGAATCGAACCCTACTTCCGGCTTTCCGGACGGAACAGTCAACCACCGTTGGCTGGCGATCCAAGCGTGCAGCCCCACACAAGGTGAGCCACAACAGCTGGACCAATGGCAGCACTTTGCTTGTGAAGATGTGATGTGAGGCCACCGACATATTTTGGAGCGAACTCAAAGTGCTCTTGAGCCAGTTGTCCAACATCGTTGCGGCCGTGTGTGGTTCACATAAGTTTTGCTATAATATGAAATGATATGAAGCTTGCAAGAGCTCGACGAAAGTCACACCAAATGTCAGTGCATGACGGCCTTTCATCACTGCCAATAGGCCAAAACTCCATTCACCAATGCCCAAATCTTGATGAAACGTCAATTTCAACAAAATCTGGACAGTCCGGACGACAGCTACATTTTTTGATGACCGAACCAACAGCTGAGTTTCCAAGCTGGGCGATCTCAAACAGGCCGGGCGCGCACATGTATGTTGTCTTTCAGGCGTGTCCAGGTGCGGCTTTTGGCGACACAAAGATGGGCAAACTCCATTCCAACTCGTAAAGGGCTCCAGGGCTCCATGCAAGAGGGCTTAATTCAAGGCTTAATTCAAGGCTTAATTTAAGGCTTATTTAAGGCTTAATTAAGGCTCAATAGTGATCAAGTTTTGTCAAGTTTTGTCAAGTTTTGTCAAGTTTTGTCAAGTTTTGTCAAGAGAACAGTCATTCATATGCTGCGCGTCACCAGGCGAATCTGCGTATCTGCACAGCAGGAGTCCATCAAGTGTTGACCCGGTGCCATCGGTGCCAACATGCCATCCTTTTCCTTCCTTCAGTTTCCCAGCCTCACCACTCGAATGGCTCGGGTGATTCTGCCAATTCGAAGTATTCGCAGCAGCCGCATATTGGTCAACACATTGGTGTTGTTTTCCCCAGACTGCACGGGTGCAGCAATACACCGGGAGTGGTTAGGGAGTGTTAGACTAAGAATCTAAGTTTATCAAGTTTTGAAGCAGCGCTAACTGCTACCATGTCGTGGATGTTCTTGCATGTGAAAAATGTGATTCGCTTATGCTTCTATGTTTGAACAAGCAAAAAGTTCAAAAAGTTTGAATTAGCTCATTTGCGCTTAATTTGCGCCATTCTGTGAAGCTGTGACATGCTGTGACATGTTCCAAAGGATCTAGGGGCACAAGGATAATCCCCAAACTCCTTTCCAATCCGTGCCTGGTGCAGTGCCAATTCCAGCACAAATTCAAAGAGGCTGGACGATACCTGAGAAATTGTCTGAAATTGTCATCATCCTATGCCTGTCCCTCCTTTTTGTTGTGGTTTCCTGACGTCAGTTGATGCCAATACCAACACCCTTCTACAGTAAGTGCTTGACTGTTCCCCGCCTTCTCAATTACCACTACTGCAATGACCTTCTCATAAAGCCATTGTTGTGACTACCACAATGAGCACATTTTTTCAGCTTCATCACAAGTACCTTCATCACAAGTACCGTCATCCCACTCCTCATCGCTCATTTGGATTTTGATATTCTTCATCACCATGTTCAAGTTCTTCCTTTTTTCTTTTTCTTCTTCTTCATCCTCATCATTATCTTCCTCTTCCTCCTCTTCTTCTTTCACCATCATCAGCACGGCCATTGTCATCATTCTTGTCATCCTTTTTTCTGCATACTGCTGCATACCTATTGTTCTTCTCTTGTTTTTTGTCCTTCTCCTTCTCCTCCTTTTTCTTTTCCTCCTGCTGCTGCTTCCGCTGCTGTGTTTCCTTCATGTTCTCTTCATATGCTTTCTTCTTTTGGTAATATTTCGCTGCTCTTCTTTTGTCCTTTTCCTTGGTTTCTCTCTTCTCCTCCTCCTCCTCCTCCTCCTCGTCCTGCTTCTTCTTATTACTGTTATTTGTCTGCTGCTTTGCTTTCTTCTTATCATTGTTCTTATTTTTCTTCCTTGCTTTCTTACACATGTATATAACATTTTTTATGTATATATACATAGATACATATGTATATATATATATAATTATATATGTATGTATGCGTGTGTGTATTCGTTATCGCTTTCTTCGCCGTCATCTTGTTCTTTTTTGTCTTCTCCTTCGTAATGTTCTTCTGCAATTGTTTGGTCGCACAAGACAAACCAATCCCTCAAGCAAGAAACCATGGAGGTGAGAGCGCTGTTGAATTGTTGACAAGGCGATCGGGAAGCACATACGTACTAAAATTCCACACCATAAATCGCAGCACATCCAAAATAAAGCCGGGCAGCAACGATCAGATCCAAAAAGGACCAAGCCCATTCCTGGAGCTGATGGACGTCCCTCGCTACAAAAACCCTGGTCGAAACAAGAACAAATGCTGGGAATGTGCAATGATAAGATAATCATTGCTTCAACTTTGAAAATGCAGTGATAACTTCGTGACTCCATGACTCCAATCTTTGGGCAATGAAGAATCTCCAATCTGCCCTGTTCTAGCCCTCTACATGCTTCAGTGGGTTCACCAGGGATCAGCCAAAGCCACTGGCCCACAGAAAATGGAGAATCCACGACCAGCTATCCGAAGCAACAGCTCGAGGGTGAACCTCACTTGAATCTTGGCACTTTGGAATTGTGAACTGTACACTTGGTGCCTCCTTCTATAATAACTGCTCACGAAGACTCAAGAAGACTATGTCCATGTCAAGACCAAACCAAAGAATTAAATCTGTCGCTTCTGTTAATTTACAATAGGTGCTCACCAAAGATGTCAAATCTTCCATGATCTTCCCAAACATGGATGGAGAATGGTTGTAACATGTTGCAATGCTGCGTCCGACCGTCGACGCCCTTAAACTGAACACGTGCTTTAATTCCCTTCGCCAAATCTTCAAAATAATGTAAATTAATGTAAATATTAGCAATATCTTGTTTAGCCGGTGCTACCTTAAACACTTTATGGTAGGCTAAATGCCTGTGGGTATGACCCATCTCCAAAACGCTGTGACAGAATCCTGCAGGGGTCCACAAGACGTGACAAGCTGCTCTGAAAGAGAAATGGTAAAATTGGTACAATTCCAGAGCTGGCAGCACTGTATTCGCCGGTGAAATCACCTTCCATCCTAAACTGGTCCTAAGCGAGAAAAGTCAACATTGCCCCAACATTGTAAATTCTCCAGACTAATTACAGCATCGTGTAGGCGGAGTTGATCACAAAAGACGCCTCGCTCGGTGAGGCTCCTGTGAGCTTTCAGCAAAGCATGCAGAGGTGTCACTTCTGTCTTAGGCTACAAAATGTCGACCTCAACTTTCGGGAAGGGACCAATGCCACTCTTGTTTAAGATGTGTCTTGTCAGTGGCAATTCAGCATGATTTCGGGCAGCTACACGATGCTACACAGCAACCAGCAATCTCTGCTTTGGTGCACCTGGATCTTTCGCCAACTCTTCCACTTGTATTGCGATGACAATGGAGTTTGTCATGATCCTCAGGGCCGTACTGCCACGGACCGAGTCACTAGAGTAGAGCAGGTCAGCTTGACTCCGGAATTTCGCTGAATCTGTGAGGTCTTGCCGAGTCTAAGCTGAGACAATGGCACCACGGCAAAGAATGCCTCAAACCTTGGTCCAAAAATGTTGGGTTTGAAAGGTTTTCAACATTTTTCAACAGAAAAGCGAAGCTTTGACTCGCTCTACAATACGCGTTGCTGTGTTGTTTTCTTTCTGGAGGTGCTGCAATACTTTCAAAAACAGGGCCGCAGCGCAATAGATACACAGAAATGTTGTACATATATCATCATATATCATATATGCAATTGTAGACAACACACCTATGCTCAACCATTGCACTACGATGGAGTATGTGGAAATTGCCAGGTTGCCCTCAAAGACATGTTCTTGGACATGCTCCAGCAAGCAAAACTTCCCTTCCGTTCAGCCACTAATTCCAAGAGCAAGCTTGCGAGACACGTCTGAACGCATTCCCTACTTTCAATTTTCAATTACGTGTATTCGTTGACTCTGCAGATTGTTGAACTTGTACACAGCGCTTTGTAAACGCAATGTTTCTGTGTAATGTTCTGTGTAGTGAAAAAGGGTTTTGTTTCCAAACTGGGTGCAGCGCAAAGAGCAAAAGCAAAACATGTCCAAGTGTGACGATTCGACGATTGTGACGTGTGACAACCAACATCAACAGCCAAATGGAGTCCTCAGCAAAGTTACATCCAAGCATTGACAATTCCTTGCATGAAGCTCCGACAGGCGAAGGCCTCCTCCAATGAGGTTTGTCTGCAGAGAAGTCACATATTTTACAAAGTTGTTCATCTTTTGTTCATCTTTTGTTCATCTTTGTTCAGCCTTTCAACCGGCCCAGACCGTCAATAATATATATCTGATCACAAAATGCCACAACACATGTCACCACTGCACTTTGTGTTTTGTTTGGAAATGTCATTCCCACAAACACCCAAATCCATCTCTCCTTCACCTCTCTCCCTGCTTCTTCCGGCTCTTCGTCACCTATCCACCAACACCTTGCTCACTTGTATCAGGTCAAAATGAGAGTTGTCCGGTCTGGACATATTGTTCTGGAATCATCATCAGAACGTCAGGAGCCTAGATCTTTACCTTGCAAACAGTGGGTTTGAGTCATCTAAGCACCACACAATTTCTGACGAAGAAACTTCTGTATGCGTTCCCTGACAAGTTGAGCACCCGTTCCAAATTCAAAGGATGAAGGTGCGACAAAAGTTCAACCACAAAGGAGTTAACTGTGCTGAATCCCTCCGCCGTTGAAGCGGTCATAAATTACTTTGAGGTCAACACTCCGACACACAGTTGCAACAGTTATTTTCCTAAGGTAAAGCGAAAACATGTCCAAAGCAGATGCCAGTCTCGCAAGTGGTTTACGCATGGTTTCCAACGACACTATGGTTTTGTTCGAACATGATCAGGGGTGCAATTCTTCAAGCGCGGTCACGTTGAAATCTTGTGAAACAAGTGTTGTCTTTTCTGGGCCGTTTTCGACCGGTTTCAGTAGTGGGATACAATGTTTGAATTGATATGTCGGTCATGGAAAAGTGTAAAACTAAATCCCAACCATCTTACTTGGGAGATGATAAAATGGCAGAAGTGAAATCAATTGCGGTTTCTTTTTGATCTTACCGCGGATCAGGTGAAATCGCAGCTGCGGGCGCAAGTTCCCACAGATGCCGCAGGGCACAAACACCTTGCTGTGATTGCAGAATATGTAAGCAGACCAAGGCCTTGCCGTTTGATATAAAGTATGCCAAGAAGGTTCTGGACAAGTGTTGCATCATTGTGCAGTTCATCAAAGAAAGATGTTCTGCTGTTCCCAGCTAAAGGGGGTGGAGATAAAGGTCCATTTTGCTAAATTACTTTGATTCAAGTACTAGATTGGTTAGCTGGCCTGTTTACAAAGCTGCGTAAATCTTATGGTTTGTGATGCAGTCAACCACTGTTCGTTGTTTCAATGTTTCTGTCCTTTAGTATCTTTAGTAAATGCCGGGGCTGGGGTCTTTCACTGGCACTTGAGAAAGCAAAACCCCCCGCACACAATCACACGACATGTTCTGAGACCTTGTATCTGTTCGAAGCATGAACAAGATAAAAACTGTCCTCTCTTACCCTCCACTGTAGCCTGAGTGGAGGTCGCTCCCTGTCAGCGCCCTGGCATCAAAAAATGTTGATACAAATCACACAGTTCCTCCGCTCAGATCGGCTACAGTTTGTTCTGCTATTTGTTCATCCTGTTCTGCGAACCCCTAACACAGTTGGATCGCCGCGGATCTCTAAATCTCACAGGCAAGAAAACAAAATAAAATCCACTTTGTGTGGTCGATTACGCTGGGCTGCTCCGTAGCCATTTTGGCTCAAGCCATTTTGGCTCAAGCCATTTTGGCTCAATCGGCCGACCTTGACTCGCCATGTCTCGATCTCTGATGATGGTCGCCTACGCCATGGAGCTCATCGTGCGCTTCGCCACGGAGGCCTTCGTGCCGTCGGTGCGCCTTGGCCGTAGTTCAAAAGGACTTTGGTTCCTGACATTGATACTATGTGTTCATGGAGTCAAAGCGAAGCCATTGAAGGAGCACAGTCGCAATGAAACCATATATGCACTGGAATGCATTCTCATGTTTTGCTTTTGCCTGCAGTGTTTGCAATGGTTTTTGTACTGCATTTTGCACACTTGCAAGCATATTTGCAAATTCTGCTACAACCGCAGACCGAATTTGTCACACGTTCTGGTTGCAGTCTAATTTTACTGTAGCCATGTGACAGTTGCAATCGTGATGCCCTACAATCACTTGTCGCTGCCTGCACTTGTGCTTTGTCCCATGCGCATTGCGATCATCCTTTTTTGCATGTTCTGCCCTTGTTCGCGAACCGCTTCTGGCTGTCCTGCCTTGGCATCGCCTTCTTGGGTGAAATTACCCTGAGTCTCCAAAACGAGTAAATTTACTAATTTAGTAAATTTACTATATAAAAGTGAAGAATTTACGTATTTGTTTGGCTAATTTCCTTGATGTTAGTAAATTTTGTGAAAAATGAAAAGTGCATCAAAAGTGCATGTTTTTTCCAGCATTTGTCAAAAGTGCATGAAAAGCGCATCGAAAGTGCATTTACTTACGTTAGTAAAATTTACTAACGTAAGTATTTTTTTTACTAACACTAGCAAAAAAATTACGTAAATCCACGTTAGTAAATCCCAAAATTTACGTAATTTCTTTGGCACCTAAATTTACTAGTTTTGGAGACTCAGGGTACCAGCAGTGTTGTGCGAGCGCGGCCTTCGGCGCCAAAAACCAAAATTATTTTGCAGCGTCGCTATGTTCTAAAAAGCAGATGTAAGCAGCATCGTTGGATTTGGCGACCACGTCAAAGATGCCAACAGCACCAGCTTGTGCAATGTATGCGCATCGCTACCGGGAACTTACCACACAATGGTGCATCCAGGAGTTGATGTTGACTGGAGTGCATTGAGAGGCGGTCCTGGTGCCGCCAGTGCCGCCACCAAACGGAAAAGCACTTAACGTGAATTGCAATTTGCTTGAAGGTCTGAAGTCATTATTGCAGAATTTCCATGATGACGATGAACCTCAAATGATTTTTCAACCAAGCCAACCCATGCCGTCGCAGCCGCAGACACTATTGGGTGCATTGCAACAACTTGTTGCTCATGCTGAAAGTCATCCAGAGAATCTTCTTAGTCGTCTGAAACAGCTTGTGTCAGACGCATGCGAAGGAAAACTCGTCAGCGAACCTGCCGACAGCAAAACACAGACTGTTAACCGTCATACGACTCATCGGCAACAGCATACCAACATCCAAGGGGCGAAACTGACCGCACGTGGGCTCAAGTTGCCGCAACCCACGCGGAATCCAAGTGCCACAAAAAGTGCCATCTCCCAAAAGGACAAAACGACCTCCAGACTTTGGGCGGATCCAAACGACAAGGGTAGTGTGATTCAGGTGAAACTCCAACTGCCAAGCTTTGTTCTGCCAATTTCCAGACAGCCACCGAATTGAGAACATCGGCCAAAGCTCATGGGATTGATAGAACCTGCCAGACTGCCATTGTTGTCATGTATGGTGAAGCACCGAGTGAAACCCAACAACGATGGGTACATGTCCAGTCTCTTGGCTCTGGTCCTGAAATGAAAAACTACCAGCTGTGCCGCTTGGAGAATCATTGCCTGATCTCCCAACATGCTCAGCCAAGAAAGTAGGCATCCCAAAAGGTGACCAAGATATCATGCGTTTACGAATCAACCTCCCGTTTTGTTTCAGTGAATATTCATGGAAGCAGTGTCAAGTCAAGCCAGCCAACATCATCTCAGGCCGACAACGGCCTCCAAGATGGGCTGATTGGAACTTATGAATGGCGCACGCTTCAATCCCAACAATGGAGTGATTATGCTGAAGCCGTCACAAGTTTCTTGAAAATCGACCCCAAAAATTACCGAAAGTGTCTAGAAACTTTCTGGAAACCACGGTGTGTTTTTGAACCTTTGGCAAAAAACCGCGCAAACACTGTGATCAATTGGATTGCTCAAAACAAGGGCGAATCCGATGATGAGTACATGACACGCGTTCGTGCCATGGAACACACCGATTGATTGACATACCGCAGACAAGGCAAGAGTCGTCTAGGTCTGCGAAACCCCGAGGGATCGTACCAACCACCTGAAAACCGAGCCCGTGTTTGGGACGCTCGGGGAATTTCACCACAATGGTCCACAGGAACCATCTCAACATGGCTCAATACCAATGGATGGTCAGATGTCGAACTTCTTGCGCAACCATCCGGAAACAGAGGTTGGCTTTTTCGTGCCAAAAACAGTGCCACGTCATTTTGCTTTGCCTTTGAAAATGATGCCGGCGATTATATCACAATTTCCCAATTTTTCCACCGGAAGAAGAAACCTTTCCAGAAACCTATCAGAGCCGCTGGAAGCTCACTCCATCAAAGCAGTCTTTGGACCGCACTGAATGGCGCTAAAAGTGCTGCACCACCAGCTCGCCGCAACCACGACGAGGTCGCTCCCACACAAAAAGATGAAGACGACATGGAAGAAGATAAAGCAGCTACACCTGCTGAAAGCAACAGCCAAGCTGACACGGGCGATGTTCGTATGACAGAAGCCAAGCGCAGTGTTCCTTCAAGGAGAAGCTGAAGGCGAAACTCCTGACAAAAAGCATGCCAATAAACAAAAAGAAAAGCCCCACGATTCCCTTATACCAACTTTTGAAGGATTTTCATTTTGCGATTTGGGAGGGGGTGGCGACTGTGCTTACAGATCGCTGGCAGTTGCGTGTGCTCTCCAAGACTCACGTGATGTCACTGAAAGTACAATGCCAGCCAAAAGCTTGGCGCCACACTGCCTGCGCAAGTGAGCTCTAGATCTCCAAACATGAACATGTCAAACGTGATTTCAAGCCCGACCCGCAGTGGCCCGAAAAACTTGAGGATGGACCGGTGCCGGTCACCTATGAACAATGGGTTAGTGCCACAGCGTGGCCCAACAGATGGATCGATGGTCCGTGTTTGAGCACTGCTGCCACCCGCCTCTCCAGAAACATTGCAATTTGGAAATGGCAGGGTGGGCCAGGGTGGGCCAGGTCGTGAATCCTGGGTCAAGCAGATCGTGATTCCACCACTCCCAGGTCATGCCAAAAACATTCAACAAGCGAACAGCTTTCCTCCATTGCCTTTGTTCTTGAAAGCTGGTCACTATGTTACCATCAAACCAAGTGACAGCCCGTTTCCAATGCACTGGCACGACAATCCGGCTCACACTTGCTGGGATGCCGGGGACAACCGTGGCGGTGCCAAATCTTACAGCAGCTGGCTCCCGCCTAGCTCCCCCAGCAGTGTCAAAATTCTCCAAATTCAGCAGTTGGATCGTGTGCAAGTTGGCTGCCGCCCAGCTCCACTTCCAGTGTTAAGTATGATGTGGACCCAAGGGATGGTAAGGCGACCCAGAGCCATGCAGCATCCTACAAGAGTTGGCTGCCAGCCAGCTCCTCTGCTAGACATCATCAAGTTGATAAGCAATGTCTACCGAAACCCAATTGACCAAAGGCGTCCAGCGCGAAAAAGGGAATGCCAGTCAGCTCCATTTCTAGAAGCGCAAAAGGCGCTGCAAGCACTTCTGCTGTCAGCGCGCTTGCTCCTAAAAGGGAATATGTGTTGGACCTGACCCTCCGAAAGTTGGCTCAAAGCCTTTTGCTTTTGAAAAGGGCATCAGGAGACTTGGCCGACCCCCAAACAGCGTTGAGACTAAAAAGATGGACAGGAAGACAGCCATTAAACTGCTCCATCAAAGCCACTTGGTTTGGGCTTGCCCAGAATGCCAGACCAAGTTCGAAGGTCAGTATGGATCTGTCATTAGAAGTAGGTGGCGCCACCGGAAGTCACACCACCCCGAAAAATCTACAGCTCTTATTTCAGGGCCCAAGATAACTATATTTGAAGTTTCGCATGAATTGCCGCAGGACCAGCAAGCATGGTCCTGCCCTCTCTGCACAGCTGCCTTGATTGCCTTCTTTGCATGATCAAGACCGAAGGCGAAGAAACACTGCCAAAACTGTCATCCTGATCACAGTATTCAGGACAATGCACATTTGAATAAGAAAAACAGAAAGAACCCCAAAAATGCCCGAAAACAACGCGAGAAGTGGGTCAAATATCGCAAGCACAAGTTTAAGACCCACGAGCCCGTCGAAGTTGCGATTCCTGAGCGGCAGCAGAGGAAACGAGGTACCGCCAATGAACGTCTATCTCACAATGTTTATTGCCGTAAATGTCTAACCTGGCTAAATTCCAAAAATGGTATCTCACCACTGATGACTTGCGCCAAGAGACGGAAGGAAGCTTTTCCGTGAAAACAAATCGTCACAACTCCCAAGGCGAAATTTGTGAATCAGAATCAAGAAAGATAGCCACAACATGCCAAAAATTACGCAGACTCCATGGGTAAATCCTTTGAAGAACTTGATGCTTTTTATCAGGTCACCACGTGACAAATCAGCTGGTCCGCATCGTTTAATGTGGGTCCAGCATTGGCAAGCAGACTTAACTTGTCATGGGGACATACATCCCCACCCTGGTCCCAGAACGCAAGAGGTCTCTGCTTGGAGCTGCAACGTCGCTTGTGGTTCCGGGGCCTGGGAATTTGCCAAACTTGCGAGTAAAAATCATGTTCGAATCATCTCCATCCAGGATGATGGTCTGACACCTAGCGAAAGAATGAGTTCTCTCCAGTTTTGCGAAAAATTAAACTACCGTGTATATCCTGCCCCGGTGTGCAGAACGGACCGCAATTTTTGGGGGGCGCAATGTTGCTGATTGATGCCACACTAAGGTCCTCTCAGCCGGCTGTGTCAGCGCCGGAGTTCCAGAGTGCCAGTGCCACAGTTGAAAATCTTGTTTGGACAACAATGTATCAACCACCTCAACAGCCGAGAATATCATTCTTAGAGCGCTGTTTTCAAATTCGCTTCATGTCGTCAAGACATTGTCCTTAGGTTTGCGTTGGTGTTTTCAACGATATCCCTATAGTGAACAATCCTTGCTGGAAAATGAAGCCTTTCCTGGCCTGTCCTTATCTTGCCGCTAAACGCCCCATCTCCCAGCAATTTCTACCAACTAGATGGGAAGGTTCTAGATGTATTGATTACTTCATCAAAGGAAGTTTAGGGGGAGAAACTTCCGTGTTACGGACTTTTAGAATGTCAGGGAAAGAGTTAGTCAAAGAAAGAGTTAGTCAAAGAAACAGTTAGTCAGGGAAAGAGTTAGTCAAAGAAAGAGTTAGTCAAAGAAACAGTTAGTCAGGGAAAGAGTTAGTCAAAGAAAGAGTTAGTCAAGGAAAGAGTTAGTCAAAGAAAGAGTTAGTCAAAGAAAGAGTTAGTCAAAGAAACAGTTAGTCAGGGAAAGAGTTAGTCAAAGAAAGAGTTAGTCAAAGAAACAGTTAGTCAGGGAAAGAGTTAGTCAAAGAAAGAGTTAGTCAAAGAAACAGTTAGTCAGGGAAAGAGTTAGTTAAAGAAAGAGTTAGTCAAAGAAAGAGTTAGTCAAAGAAACAGTGAGTCAGGGAAAGAGTTAGTCAAAGAAAGAGTTAGTGAGGGAAAGAGTTAGTGAAAGAAAGAGTCAGTGAGGGAAAGAGTTAGTCAAAGAAAGAGTTAGTCAGGGAAAGGGTTAGTCAAAGAAAGAGTTAGTGAGGGAAAGAGTTAGCAAAGAAACCGTTAGTCAAAGAAAGAGTTAGTCAAAGAAACAGTTAGTCAGGGAAAGAGTTAGTCAAAGAAAGCGTTAGTCAAAGAAAGAGTTAGTCAGGGAAAGAGTTAGTCAAAGAAAGAGTTAGTCAAAGAAAGAGTTAGTCAAAGAAACAGTTAGTCAGGGAAAGAGTTAGTCAAAGAAAGAGTTAGTCAAAGAAAGAGTTAGTCAGGGAAAGAGTTAGTCAAAGAAAGAGTTAGTCAAACAAAGAGTTAGTCAAAGAAACAGTTAGTCAGGGAAAGAGTTAGTCAAAGAAACAGTTAGTCAGGGAAAGAGTTAGTCAAAGAAAGAGTTAAAACTCTAGGATCGTTCCCTCACTGTAAATGGCATTGCAAGTGGTACTGGTGGAGGAGTTGCCGATGGAGTTTTGGAGGAAGTCTCGCACGAAATGCGTTTTTGAGAGATAGCAGATGCACGAACCCCTATGTTTTTCCATACAAAGTCCGTCCCCGAACCTCGATGATCTACCTCTGCGGTGCGACGGGTGCGAGACGGTCTCGTGTGTGGTCGGATCATGCTCGGATCATGGTCGGATCATGGGCGGATCATTCTCGGATCGGTTCCGCATTGTAAATGGGGTTTCGACTGTTTTTCGTGCATGTGTGGTCGACAGAATTCCATTGTGATTTGCAACTGTAGGATCGTTCCCGCATTGTAAATGGGGTTGCAAGTGGTGCTGGTGGATGAGTTGCTGATGGAATTGCATTGTGATTTGCAACTCTAGGATCGTTCCCTCACTGTAAATGGCATTGCAAGTGGTGCTGGTGGAGGAGTTGCCGATGGAGTTTTGGAGGAAGTCTCGCACGAAATGCTTTTTTGAGAGATAGCAAATGCACGAAAGCCTATGTTTTTCCATACAAAGTGCGTCCACGAACGTCGATGATCTACCTCTGCGGTGCGACGGGTGCGAGACGGTCTCGTGTGTGGTCGGATCATGTTCGGATCATGTTCGGATCGGTCTCGGATCATGCTCGGATCGGTTCCGCATTGTAAATGGGGTTTCAACTGTTTTTCGTGCATGTGTGGTCGACAGAATTCCATTGTGATTTGCAACTGTAGGATCGTTCCCGCATTGTAAATGGGATTGCAAGTGGTGCTGGTGGATGAGTTGCCAATGGAATTCCATTGTGATTTGCAACTGTGGTATCCTTCCCGCAATGTAAATGGGATTGCAAGGTTGCTTCCTGCTTTGGCTGCAAACGTAATACTATTGTCTTTTGCAGCTGGACTTCGTAAATCGTATTGGAGTGGCTGCATGAAGGCTGCGACAGTGATTTGTCAGCAGATTTTCTTCATTTTGGCGCTAGTGATTTTCCTTCTAAAAATCTTTTTAAAAAGTGCTTCAAAATCGTTTTTTTTTCGCTCTGGCGTCGAGATCCAGTTTTGGAGCTACAATTTCCGACGCCGTTGCGCGTAGTTCTATTGTCTTTTGCAACTCAGTCTCTGCAGATTGCATTGTAATGGCTGCGTCAAGGTTGCTTCGTGCTGTGGTTGCATTCGTAGTCTCGCACGAAATGCGTTTTTGAGAGATAGCAGATGCACGAAACCCTATGTTTTTCCATACAAAGTCTGTCCCCGAACCTCGATGATCTACCTCTGCGGTGCGACGGGTGCGAGACGGTCTCGTGTGTGGTCGGATCATGTTCGGATCATGTTCGGATCATGGTCGGATCATGGTCGGATCGGTCTCGGATCGGTTCCGCATTGTAAATGGGGTTTCAACTGTGTTTCGTCTATGTGCGGTCGACAGAATTCCATTGTGAATTGCAACCGTAGGATCGTTCCCGCAATGTAAATGGGATTGCAAGTGGCGCTGGTGGATGAGTTGCCAATGGAATTCCATTGTGATTTGCAACTGTAGTATCCTTCCCGCAATGTAAATGGGATTGCAAGGTTGCTTCCTGCTTTGGCTGCATACGTAATACTATTGTCTTTTGCAGCTGGATCTCGTAAATCGTATTGGAGTGGCTGCATGAAGGCTGCGACAGTGATTTGTCAGCAGATTTTCTTCATTTTGGCGCTAGTGATTTTCCTTCTAAAAATCTTTTTAAAAAGTGCTTCAAAATCTTTTTTTTTCGCTCTGGCGTCGAGATCCGGTTTTGGAGCTACAATTTCCGACGCCGTTGCGCGTAGTTCTATTGTGTTTTGCAACTCAGTCTCTGCAGATCGCATTGTAATCGCTGCGTCAAGGTTGCTTCGTGCTGTGGCTGCATTCGTAATACTATTGTCTTTTGCAGCTGGATCTCGTAAATCGTATTGGAGTGGCTGCATGAAGGCTGCGACAGTGATTTGTCAGGAGATTTTCTCCATTTTGGCGCTAGTGCTTTTCCTTCTAAAAATCATTTTAAAAAGTGTATCAAAATCGTCTTTTTTTCGCTCTGGCGTCGAGGTCCGGTTTTGGAGCTACAATTTCCGACGCCGTTGCGCGTAGTTCTATTGTGCTTTGCAACTCAGTCTCCGCAGATCGCATTGTAATGGCTACGTCAAGGTTGCTTCGTGCTGTGGCTGCATGCGCAATACTATTGTCTTTTGCAGCTGGACTTCGTAAATCGCATTGGAGTGGGTGCATCAAGGGTGCGACAGTGATTAGTAGTAGTGCTGGGAATTATAATGAAAGCTTAATAGATGACATATGAGAAGGGACTAGATGAGAAGAGATGAGCTGGGATAAGGTGAGAAGAGCTCAGATGAGATGAAATGTGGAATGTGAAGAGTGCAGTGTGAAGTGTGGAGCGTGAAGAGTGCAGTGTGAAGTGTGAAGTTTGGAGTGTGAAGGAAGCAGTGAGAAGTGAGAAGTGTGAAATGTGAAGTGTGAAGTGTGGAGTGTGAAGTTTGGAGTGCAAAGAGTGCAGTGTGAAGTGTGGAGTGTGAAGTGTGAAGTGTGAAGGTTGGAGTGTGAAGAAAGCAGTGAGAAGTGAGAAGTGTGGAGTGTGAAGTGCAAAGTGAGAAGTGTGAAGTGTGAAGTTTGGAGTGTGAAGGAAGCAGTGAGAAGTGAGAAGTGTGAAGTGTGGACTGTGAAGTGTGAAATGTGGAGTGTGAAGTGCGACGTGAGAAGTGTGAAGTGTGGAGTTTGGAGTGGGAAGGAAGCAGTGAGAAGTGAGAAGTGTGAAATGTGGAGTGTGAAGTGTGAAATGCGAAGTGAGAAGTGTGGACTGTGAAGTGTGAAGTGTGAAGTGTGGACTGTGAAGTACGAAGTGTGAAGTGCGGACTGTGAAGTGTGAAGTGTGAAGTGTGGACTGTGAAGTGTGAAGTGTGAAGTGTGGACTCTGAAGTGTGAAGTGTGCAGTGTGAAGTGTGGACTGTGAAGTGTGAAGTGTGCAGTGTGAAGTGTGAAGTGTGAGGTTTGCAGTGTGAAGGAAGCAGTGAGAAGTGAGAAGTGTGGAGTGTGAAGTGTGGAGTGTGAAGTTTGAAGTTTGGAGTGCGAAGAGTGCAGTGTGCAGTGTGAGGTGTGGAGCGTCGAGGGAAGGACACGGTCGGGACAGGGTGTCTTTGAACTATAGGTCATTTATGTTTGGGAAACTTCCGCCGCCGGCTTGCCCGGGTCTATGTTAACATCTTGTCCAGGCAGTTTTTCGCGACATTACCCTTTTGGAAGAAAAGCACTTGCTGATCACAAGATTTTGACCAGCGCGATGCTATTCCATACAGCAAGATCCCGTGAACATCTGTTCCGTTTTCAGAAGACGCCAGACCTTGCAAAACCTGGGGAAACTCCTATTGACCAGCGGTTCCAATTTTGCCACAAGTTTCTCACTGCCAACCCAGCTCCGAGTTTGCCGTGCTTGGAAATCTTTGAGTTTGTACTATCATGGCATGCTTTTGTATGCGAAGAAAACTGCTTTTCGACACCTGGGGAAAGAATTTAGATGTTCCGGTGTCAAAAATGGCTTTCGCTTGACTAACAACATGCCACCCTGTTGCAAACTTGACCATGACAGCGATAGCTTTGAGATTTGCAAGCTCCGTAACCTCGCTGCCAAACTTCAAGAAGCAAATCGACTTCACCTGGCCTCCATGACAAACAGCTACGAAAATGTGAATTTGATGACGAAGATTCGTAGATCCCCACTTCTACGATCCTTCTCTCTCTCTCTCTATCTCTCTCTCTCTCTCTCTCCCTCCCTCTCTCTCTCTCTCTCTCTCTCTGAATCAGCACATTGGGGCAACACTTGCCCAACTTGAGCAAGCACGTAAAACGTTCAAAACGTACGATATCAACAAGTGGAAGGCCAGAATGCAGCAATCTGCCTCTCAGTGCTATAGGTGGTTGAAAGCTTTAACCTTTACCCCCTTTCAAGGGCTAGTTTCGAGTAGCTTAAACAAATCGTTGCCCACTACATGCATAACGGAATCACTTGAGCTAATACGTGACCACTGGCGCCGCGTGTGGCGCCGCCCTGAACTCAATTTTGACGCTGAATTCAACGCAGTCGATGCAGAAATTGATGCCTTACCGAATCCGCGCCATGTTAGAGCCTGGAAACCTTTTAAAGCAGTGAAAATGAACAACAGGCCGGCAGGTTCTGATGACTGGTTAGGATCTGAACTTGCAACATTGCCAACTGAAGCCTTCATACCCTTTGCTGACTTTTGCACCTTTTGTGAAAATGCCCACAAACTTCTAAAATATTGGCGTTGTGCCTCGCAAGTGCACCTCCCCAAGGGCTCCAATGCCTGGGACGTGACCGGGCTACGTCCAATAACTCTCTTTTCAGTTTGGTATCGGCTGTGGGCCGCCAGCCGCCTTCAGTGCTCCGATTGTCAAACCTGGCTCTCCTCGTGGTGGCCGCCGTTTGCCACAGGAGGGAAGAAGGGACATGAAATATATCACGCATTGATCCCGCTCATCAATGCCGCTGCCAAGAACCAATATATCATCTCGCTTGATTTTTCGCTTGCGCTTGATAACTGTCATCCACAGCTTGCGATACATGTTCTAAGTAGACTTGCCTCCCTTCATGTGCAACATGCTGATGGAACAGTGGACAAATCAACAACAGCTCATTTCTTTCCAAAATTTTGTTTTACCAGCATCGGAGAGTACCAGCTTGCCACAAAGTGACCCGTGGTCACTTCTTGCCATGGTTGCCGTGCTGTGTCCAGCCATGTGGGAGATCGACAGAACGCGCCCACAGGTCACTCAGCGCAACTTTGTGGATGATAGATCTTGGGCCGCCCCCACAGTCACCGAGGCTTTGGATTGTTTTTTCCATCTGGGGAGACAAAGCTCAATTTTACCATACCCAGGCTGCTGGCCGTCGCACGCTGTGCCGACATGAGATTCCAGTTGCCAATGTGGCTGACCAGATGTGCAGTGCATTTTGGGTCATATTTTTCGACCTTTGCAACAGAAATCTTTGAGTGCCAAGGAGAAAGAGCGCATCTCATCTACGATCGCTCTCATCCGGCAGGCTGCTCGCCTTCCTTTACCGATGTGCCATACAAGATTTGTGATTTCCGTGGGACCATTATCTAAGGTGCAATTTGGTTGGTTCATGCATGTCCCTCCCAGTGCAATATGTGACAGATTGCAGATTGCCATTAGAAAAGCCTTGGACGAGCCTAAACGCTCTTGTATTTTCTTGCGTGACATCCTTAGAGGCCATAATCTTCACGTAGGCTTCCGCATGTTGCAGACTTGTGTCAGTGCCGTTTTTCGTTTCTTGCAGCATTGCCCATTGCCTGCATGGACTAAGCTTGGTGTTTCAGGTTCCATGTCAATCCAATTCTCCCGTATTGGGTGGCTTTGAACTGGCCCTTGGAAATGGAGGCACCCTCATGCTGGTAAAACCATTTCCCTCGACCCTAACAATTCCGTAGTCGTGCCTGACATTGATTTGCTATCCCATCGCTTGTGCGAGGGCTTCCGTGCTTACTGCTACACCAAGTGCCAGAACACGAATCGCAACTACGCAGATATGTGCCGTGAAGTACCTTACTCGGAGATATCTTGTCAGGCACGCTTTTGCCATCATGATCGCATGCCGCAAGCAATCGTTGGCCCTCAGATATAAGCCTCTGAGGTAACCTGCTGGCGTTAGCCACGGCAATAATATCCATTGAGATTCATCCTGCAGAATCCTTTGATCTTTTTATTGACAGCTAGCTGTTTTCAGTTCTTGACGTGTCTTATGGCCTGCCGGTATCAAGTTCTTTGATACACACTCAAACGGGTGGCGCTACAAGTGGCCGCCATCCACGTCAAGATAATAATGCTGTGAACCGCGTTGCTGATTGTTGCTGTGGGTGTCGTGATGTCACGTGAGAGGTGGTTCCACTTTTGTTGTTGCTGCTTGCTGAAGTTTGTTGCAGCTTTGTGATCTTATTTTGTTCTTGCTTTTGCTCGTTTTCTTGTTGTTGTCATCATCCTTGCACAGTGGGTGGCTGCCGCTTTTGGCAGCCGCCCGTGCGTGGGTGGGTGGGTGGGTGGGTGGGTGGGCCAGGTGGGGGGTAAGGTGTGGCAAGTGTGGCCAGTGTGGCCAGTGTGTTTGCTGAAAAGATGTTTGAAATTCTTCTCTCACCTCCTCTTTCCTCCTCCTCCCAACTTCGCTATCCTTGTTGTAATCGTGGTTTGGTGGTCACATGGGCTGCCGTGACAGCGCCGCAGCCGTTTCGGTCAATGTTTTTTGCAACCAAAGGCTGGCCATGCCAAGTTTGAGGTAGGGCCCAGCACTACTCAAAACATAGCTTTGCTTGAAGAGGATATTGGAAGCCCAACACAAGCTGGTGCGAAAAAAACTATTGAAGAACCGCAGGACAGACTTGACTTCTTTTCTAGCATGCCACTATTTTCAAAATGAAATTTTGATTGCCTGGGACATGTCAAGCACGGAACCTAGAGACCTTGAAGCAAAGAGCCTTTTCCCTGAACTCTCATTTTCTCGTCAACACCGAACCTCTGTTTGGCCCAGGGCCACTCTGAGCTCACGGTGGCGGTGGTCATCCACCGCACCCTGACATGGCAAAGTATCCCAGGGGCTCACATCCTGACCTAAGCCTTGATTAGCTGTTTTGCATGCGAAATCACGCAACACCACATGCTTCCGGTTGGACACATCCGCGCCATTCCCCCCATGCTACGCCTTTGCATCTCCGGGCTTGACCTCAAGTGACTTTGGGGCGACATGCACCGAAATACCATGATCGAAGGACCAGGGGTCCGAGTCTGCCATGTTGGAGGAAGAAAACACGTGCGCAAAATGGGAAAATTAAAGGACCGGAAAACCCCACATGTCAACTTCTTCGTATATGTATCGAATAGGTGGGAAAAATGAAGACGCGGAAAGGAGGAAAGAAAAAGGAGAAAGTAATAGAAGACCGATCGGTACAGAGAGGGAGGGAGGGAAAGAGAGAGAGAGAGAGAGGGAGAGAGAGAGAAATGTGTGTGTGTGTGTCTGTCTGTCTGTCTGTCTGCATGCATGCATGCATGCATGTGTATGTATGTATGTATGTATGTATGTATGTATGTATGTATGTATGTATGTATGTATGTATGTATGTATGTATGTATGTATGTATGTATGTATGTATGTATGTATGTATGTATGTATGTATGTATGTATGTATGTATGTATGTATTGGTCTGTGCGTAGGCATGATTGACATCGGTTGTATGTGACAATGCTGTGTGCATGACAAGGTAGCGTGTGACAAAGTTACGCGTGACAATGTTGGTGTGCTGTAGAATTGTTTGTGAAAATGTTGCGCGTGACACTAATGTTGTGTGACAAGGCTGCCCGTGACAATGTTGTGTGTGTGTACACCCTTCTTACACAGGGCATGCGGACCTAGCTGTTTCCCTAGCCATGCCAAGGAAGCCACTGGATTCAGCCAGAGGGGGGTGGACGCGTATTGTTCTGTTATGTTGGCTCCGCTGTTGCATGGGCCAGGCAGGATGTATGAAATCTGTTCAGGCTATGTTCAACATTGTTCAACCCTGTAGACTCTTTGCCACGTATCGACTAGACTACACCTTTGGTGGATATAACTGCACAAACTCAAAACGAGTCTGCATGTGACATTGTTGCGTGTGACACAGTAGTGTGTGTGCGACAAGGTTGTCTGTGTGTGTGACAGAGTTGTGTGTGACGACGTTGTGTGCGAGAGACTTCTGTGTGATAATGTTGTGTGACAATGTCTGACAATGTTGCCGCGATCAAGGCGGTCCACCCCAGCCAGCCCGGTGCCGTAAGTGCCTGCCACGCAGGTGTGTGTGTGTGTGACAGAGTTATGTGTGTGTGTGTGTATGACAGCTGCGTGTGACAGAGTGTGACAGAGCGGCGGCGGACGGAGGAGGAGGCGGTGGCCAGGTGCAGAACAATTCTTTTGTGTGTTTCTTTGATTCAGCTGGCTCGCTGGCTCGCTCAACGCGCAGCTCCCACACTGAGGAAGCTGCATCGCATCTCCAGCACGGAAAAGTTAGAAGCCGTTGTTGCAGTCCAACACAAAATTTGAAATGAATACATAATTCACAGTACATAAGATTTCCATGAATCTCCAGTCAAGATAATCAAGACTCATGCAGACTCCGCCTCACCAATCCGAAGTGGACGACTCACGAAGCTAAGACCCCAGCAGAGACCCTCTTCCCTTTCTCCTGGAGGATGGCCAGCGCAAGGCTGTAGCCACTGTAGCACGCTGTGACATCGCTGGCTGGAAATATGCAGACTATGACACCATGACCACAACACGTCCCAGCAAAGCTTCAACTGTGCCCATAACTCTCCTCAAGCTCCCGCACAACCACGGAAGCACGATGAGCCTTGTCACATTTGTCACCGGATTATCCACTTTCCCATCAGTCTGGCGCTTGGTCTAAAGACCAACAAAGACCACGGCTGTTCATGAACGGTAAGAGTGTACATGCCACGCTGAAAATGAGCCCAAAAAAAAAGATCCAAACTCCAAGGCCGCAGAAGCTGAGAAGAGGATAGAAGACTAGCATGCTAGCGGAGGGTCAACACAACAGTCCTTCTCCTCAGCGTGCTCTTCTTCTGGAGTCATTACCTGTCTGTCTCTGTCAATCTAAGCAATTGTAACGAATTCTTTGCGGTGCACACGTTCACAAATGACCGCAATATGCACATGTTCCGGCGAAAACGTGTGCACTGATTTGATCTACATCGGACTTTTGAAAGACTCCGCCTGGGACCTCAGCTGAGGGCGCCACGCTTTTCCTGGGGCTTGGTACGCATGAAGTTCTCATCACCGCCTTGGCAATTCATTTTGACGGCCTTCAATGGCCTTCAAGCTACGGCAACGACTGTGCACCACTCTGGGCACACGGACAGCCTCCAGCCGCTCGAGCCATTCCTTCAAGTCTGCATATGAAATCATCTGAAATCCATACGAAGCACACGGTTGCTCTAAACCCAGCGTTGGAATAAGGTAGCTAGTTCATTTACTTTGTGTCAAGCAGAAACAAGGAAAGTTCCCTAGTCCTCAAGGCGTTTGAACAGTTTGTCATCTCTCAGCTGGATCGCTTCCTTGGCTGTTGACGCTCAGAGTCTCATGTCCAAGAACATCACATACAGATCGGTGTGTATGCGTATATCCATATGTATCTGAATGTAAAAAATCATCGAAGGAAGTTTAGAAGTCAAACGTCCGACAATATGGGCAGATGGAAAAGCAGAGGCGGGAAGAGTCAAAAGAAGATCAGAGAAGAGAAAGAGTCAGAAGAAAGAAGATGCATATGGGCGAAAAGGTCGAAAAGTCGCGAAACACTGTGTTTTTCCAATGATTTCTCAATTTTAGCAGGGTGCAGAATCCCTTGCGCCTGCCACACGAAACGAGGCTTCAACGTCCAAAAGTGGCGCGAACATGTCGTGTAGCAGTTTGATTTCCAAATGTGCTTCGCGCCCTCAGCTTCGTGCACTTTTTCGACATCACAACTTCCAAAAGTGCTCCGACGTTGGTGTGCTTTGTACATTTTGACTTGGAAATGTGCTTCGCGCCACAGCGGCGTACACAATTTCGATATCTTAAATGCCAAACCTGCTCCGAACACAAGGCGTTTTGTGCATTTTGACTTGGAAACGCGCTTCGCACCACACCGGCATGCAACTTTTCATCTCTCATCTGGCCAGATGGCTCCGCGCCGCTTTAGTTTAGCGAGCCTACTTTTCGACCCTCCGGAGCCACAAATCAGGTTTTGTGACAATTTCAAAAACGTTGGCAGGCGTGAGACATTCGAAGCGGATCTGCAAAGATGCAGTTCGCATGGCAGGCCCAGTACAAGAGACATGGCCAGCAGAGATGTTAGGAGGTCAGAGCGCTGATTTCTTCAGAGGGGTTGCATTTTGGAGCATCAGACCTTCAGGTTTGCTAAGATGATTTTGTGCGGCTGGTGCAGCACTTCGTGTGGCCTGGCCTCACTTTTTCGTGGCATGCGCAATACTTTAGACACATGGACTGGACTGGAAAAATTGCAAAACGCATTGGTACGAGGCCGTCAGCTCTGCACTCAACTTTC